CCCAGATTTGAATGGCATGTAACAAATGAGGAATGCCCAATGCTGTGGATAAAAGGCAGTATCGAAAAGGCATGTACTTGGAATGAGACTGGTCCCGTGGAAAAATTATATCCACAGTAATGAAATTAAAACTATATGTTAAAAGCATACAGAAATGCAAAAGGGCCAAACAGTGCAGGCAGCCTTAAGGTCTATCATTTCTTAACTTTTGACTCTTTGACTCAGTAACCTTCCTGACAATGGCATAATACACTTAGATTCGGTTTATAATTTTGTCAGGATCGGAATTCATTTGAGTTCACAGAAGTAGCAGGAAATATGTATTTTGATCTGTGCCCAAGAATCAGAAAAGAATCAGGTTTCACAAAAATGAAATGTGAAAATTCACATCATTATTAAGATTTTCTGACACTTTGTACCTACCTATTTGCAAATAACCATCTTACCTACTTTTTTTCCCTGTTAGAGTCCTTGCAGTAATTCAGTTTAACGTCTGTTCCCCTCTATTTCTGTGTCATTTGATTTTGTTTACCTCAGAGAATAGAAACAATTCAAAGCCCTAGTCATGCAGTGTGTTCTTCTAATATGAATTATTACATTCCTGAGAAGATCAGCTTGCCTCACTGGGTCTCTGTAATACAGAGTCCATGCTACTGTATGCCCTAGTAAGACCCAGGGCAAAGCTTTCAAGGTTTCTGTGCTTGACCGCTTTAACAGTGAAGTCATGCTTAAGGGAGAGAAAAAAAGAATACAGATTTAAGAATAACTTGAGACTGCAGTACAGACTACAGAATGATCCTGAAAAGATGCTTAACCTTAATTTTAATAAGCTGGTGCAGATGGGAAAAATCTTAAACTGTTGTAGTTTCTGCTGTTTTGCAGGGCTAGTGTTTTGTGTCCCCACTCCTTGGATGCAGTTACAAGATGCCAGTCTCTGTTGATACTTGGAGAGCTCTGGGTTTTTTTTGTTCCTGAATTCTTGTGAAAATGTTTAAATATTTATTCTTTCCAAAATTCATTCCTATTTTCCCCCACTCTAATCAAAATAAAAACCTTTATCATGAATATTCTTTAAATAGTTCTACATACACTTAAATAACAGTTATCTCTTACCTCACTGAAGTTAGTTAACTGTTGTCAAACTTAAAGCCAAGTATGTCCATACGCTTTTGTTCAACTGATCCTAAAGCGATACTTACTGAGTTGCGATAGTTGTGTTAAATTTGGGAATACAATTGTTGTGGTCTGTCGTGGCACTAAGACTGAAACTGTTGTTTTTATTTCTGGTGTTCACTATGTTCGTGATTTGGTTCTCTTTAATAATTTGCCTCTGTTGTGCTAGGTGGAAACTAGTGTTTGAAATTTGCATTTGTTGATAACTTTATATCAGCAATGAGCTATTTTAATACTATTTCTCAAAATATAGTGTTCTAGTTTCTATAAAACAACTCATTGATGAATGAAAGCTGTGTAAATTGTGTAAGGGGAAGAAATCGTTTTTTGCCAACGTTTTAAAACTTTGAAGTTAAAAAATATGCTATGACATTAGAGTTCCCAGTTTTTAAAGTTTTGATGTATTCACAGGCCACGTGTCATGGTTTCAATGGTTGCGTAATGGAAAACAATATAATGTCATTTTCATTATTTTTTGCCACCCATATATATGTATGTATAGAGTGAGAATGAAGAAGGATAGATTCAAGGGCAGAGTTTCAGGAAATGACTGTTGGAGCAAAGTCACTGATTATGCTATTTCATATTGGAGAGGAGGAGATATTATTATGTTTGGTATTGTTATGTTCCTGACTGAGAACGGGAGTGTTTGATTTGCTTCTACAAGCAACAGAGGACGCTTCCTAACACCCTTTCCCAATTGATAACGATGGGTTTGGTCACATCTGCTCAAAAGATATTTTAGAACAAATATAATCCATAGTTGCCTGTATGGTAACTGAAGACCATCTGCCGTATGGATTGTTACAATACTGAGTTTATATTTATTTGGCCTCTTTAAAAGTTATTCCTGTAGGAGCTTCTGAAACTGGAATCTGTGAAATAGGAGAACAAAATGTAGTAGGGAAGTAAAGAATTTTTGCATATGAACTATTTTTTATCCATTACGTATTATTGTGATTATAGTACAGAGAATGATATTCTTTCACTTAATGTCTTAATGTGTATAATGCTTGCGTTTTATTTAAATATCGACAACCTTACCACAGCCATACTTTGATTTTATACAAACAAGTGGAAAGTTACGGCTTTATAATTTGGTCTTGTCCTTAATTGCCAACATACTCAACAGTGTAGACTTGAAGTTCTTTCACAGTTTAGCCATGTCATGAGTGCTGCTTTGTATTTATGCTGGAACTCTTCTTTTTGATGTAAAGATTTTTTTTTGTCTGCTAAAAGGTCAAGATTTTGATGTAATATGACCAAAGCCACCAATGAAAATGTAATTTTGGATTTCTTTTAAATACAGTCTTATTTCCAGTTCTCTCCTGCTGAGTTTTACATGAAAACGTGTACAGCTGGTTCTTTTCTTCTTTTTGTTTGGGTTCAGAAAAAAAAAATCATTATGTTACCTTTTAAAATTTCACACCTTTTAGCACTCTCAATGTGATAATCTTCTTCTTAGGGAGTTTCTTTTGATGACCATTATTTAAGAAGGCATTACGTGAGACAGACTGAGAGAGCATCTGGAGTATAAAATCATAAACCTTGCATCTTTGGGTTTAACAGGATCCTATTAACAGGATACTAAAGAATATTGGAACTTATAATCGTTCCAGTAATCGAGCAACAGGATGGTTTTAGCCTGAGGAGAAGCTCAGAGATTTGTCTCGGGCTTGTTCTTCTTTTATCTGGCAAGAACAAGGAGCAGTGAAGGAGAAATGGTCAAAGCATTAATACGGTTAGAAAACCCTGGGGGTTTTTTTGTTTTTTGTTTTTTTTTTTGCCAGTAAATATCTGACTTCTGTTCTCTCCAACAGAGAAAGCCTATTCAGAAATGGGGTTGGTAAATCACAGGCAGAAGCCCTGCTGACTGAAGAGCGGGGAGGAGCTGAAGAGCAGGGAGGAGTAAAGGAGAGAATAAAAGATGATACTCCTTTGTGCTAGGAGAAAGGAAGGAGTGAATTGGCTTGTAAGATCTGTAATATCCTGCTTTTCTCCAGTGATAGCACATTTAATTAGAAAATCATTTTTATACCAGCATACTGTATTTTTACATACTGCATACTATTAAAATAGATTTAGTGATGCAGTTTCATATTTGTGTTGTAGATAAGGATGACTGCGAATCTAGTTAGTATGGTATTGTCACTAACACTTCACATATGATTAAAACTTGAACATCTTTTTTTGGTCCGATAGGATCTTACTCAATTGTCCCATTATTTTTCTAGGAAACTATGCCTCCACCATCACACACTGCATTTTCTGGCCATCATTTACCGTTTGTGGGTTTCACATATACAAGTAGCTGGTAAGTAAGAGTTTTCCAAAACTATCCAGAGGGTAGTTATGTAATAGCCTAAATTTCTGCCAATGAAACCAAGTCCAAGCAGATAACGAGGAATGTGGTTAGCTGAGGAGATTGTTGGGCCATAATCTAAAATGCTGTCTGCCCAAAAGCTCTCTGCAGGCAAGACTTCGATGCAGAGGTGTCAACACCTGGGTTCAGAGGAGTTTTATTGAGAACAGTGGTTCTCAACCAATATATGAAATTAACTGCATATGACAAAGGTAAGACCAGATGTGCGGACCCAGAGAAAACTTAGCTTAGAAAACTTTAAGAGCTGTGTTCTTTCCAGTCCTTTGGCGCTCTTGTAAGTCTGAATGGAAATCTTAAAAAAAAAAAAAAAAAAAAAGACTTTTATTGATACTGTTACTAATGCAGTATTTGTCATGTGCTGTTATACTGCTGAATTAAAAGAAATCCATGCGCTCTACCTGACCATTTACCAAGAAAAAAAGAAAATTCCAACTGTTGAAAAGCCATGTTGAAAGGCCATGTTTCTGCAATGTGAGATGTCCTGTAGACTCCGGAAGGATTATTTGCATAACTTAGCTGTATGTATAAACGAGTATCTGCAGAACCAGGGCCTCCGTGTTTCCAATATGTGGTTGCACACAGTTGCAGTGTCTTCATAAAATCTCTGTTTAAAATGTGAAATTAAAGAGGATTTTTGCAGACCAAAGACGACATAAGGAAATAAATATTTCAATCAGTGTATCGCAGAGTCCTGAGGAGCTGAGTCAAACAGACTAGTTTTCATGTAATCATTTTACACCATTTGTTGTGGTTGTTATTTTTAAAGATATTTGGCAAAGTTGAGGAATTATTTTAAAATCTATTGTTATTGTGGTCTTATTAACCAGCCAGAAAGTTGGATTATTTTTTTTGTTATCTGGCTGACACAGAGTATCCTGAATGCTTGTTTTTAATTTCACTTTTATGTAATATTAAAGAATGCGTTGAAAAGATAATCATGCTAAATAAAAATTAATTCAATTTCTAAGTTGAGTGCATACTAACAAAGTATTGTTTTACTGCAAATTATTTAGATAGTAAAAAACAATTTAAACAACCTTTTTTTTTTTAAAAAAAAAACTTTTAAATACACCCTTCTTATGCAATCTAGTACTGTTTAACTTTTTTTTCCAGTGTGCTTTCAGACCGCAGCTGTCTAAGACTGACAGCTGGACCACCCTCCATGGACATTGATGCCAGCATCCAAAGAACTCTGGAGGATAGTTTAGCAACAGAAGCTTATGAGAGGAGAATAAGACGTCTAGAACAGGAAAAGCTTGAACTTAGTAGAAAACTGCAAGGTAAAGGCATTAACAAGATCATTCAGTCACTATCTTGAGTTAGATTAAGCTGTAGTTTTGTTGAGGTATGGATTTTACTCTTGGAAAAAAAAAATACACTTCCTGAAATGTTTTTTAATGGAAAAGAATTCTCTTTATTTCTGTTGACAAATTAAATTTGAGATACTTTTTATCTAGGATGTCCTGTGTATGCTGCTTCTTATAACATTAGCTTTGTCCACACCGTGACTTGGTAACTATGCTGTCAAAGACTTCATTCTTAAAATCTACGATAACTTAATTTGTTCAGCTGGCAATCACTAAAATATCCACTGGCGTTCAGCATTTGAAAATTATAAATTGTAGAATCCTAATCACACGGTAGATCTTTGTGAGTAATCCCATCGATGTCAGTGATACTGTTGACAAGTATAGGTGTGTGTTGTTGTTGCTTTTTAAGAGGAGTGAGACTTGCTTTTTCTGGGGACAGGGAAAGGTCTTGATGCAGAAATGACCGCGTAACCAACCGTAATGCTCGGTTTCTCAAAGGTGTGCGTTGCTCTCCATGGTTTGGAAAAAATACCATTTTTTTTTTCCTTTAGATCCTTAGAGGCATTTAATGATGTTGGAGACTGGGAATTTCTGAAATATTCTTCGTAACTTAATTTCTTACCTCAGTGCTTTTGTGCTTTAAGGTTTTGCGTCTGTGGTTCAGGCATTAACATTTGGAACGTATACTTCCAGTACTTACTTTTAATGTACTTTCCAGTACTTAATATGCTTCTGTGGAGAGGCTGTTTGGCGTTTCTTGATTTGTCAATAATACCTTTTTGGCCTCCTGAGATGTCAGAAGTGTAATTTGTCCCTCTGTGTTTTTCTAGAGTCCACCCAGACGGTCCAGGCTCTGCAGTATTCAACAGTGGATGGCCCAATAACAGCAAGCAAAGATTTAGAAATTAAAAGCTTAAAGGAAGAAATTGAAAAGTTGAAGAAACAGGTAACAGGTAAGTCAAAACTATTAATGTGAAAGCTGTAAGAGGAAATGATTTGATGAGACCTTTTCCCTAAAGTAATGCTAGTTTTGTTTTGCTTTTCTAAAGAGTTTTTTAGTCCAGCTTTACTTATCATTTTACCCTTTGCTCTTCAGTGGTAGCCCTTAAGAAGAACGTTTACTTTCTCAACATTTCGTACAAATTCAACTTAATATTCAGCAATCCTAGCCATTAATATAGAGTTGCAAAGGAGAAAGAGGATTTCAATGACTTCCGCTATTATTATTAGCGGTAAAGTTCCACTAGTTTTAAATCATGCTGTTTCTAATTTTGTTGATTGTGAATTAGGCTCTACTTGAGCATCTGTGAAACCGTGACCCAGTTTTCTTCGGAAGACTTCTGGTTTTTTCCTACAACTTACTGCAAAAGCAGATGAAACTTGTTTGGCTATTTGGGGCGGTATCAAAAGTAGTTTCAGTCCTTCAGACGTCACAGTCGCTCACGTTCGTACCATAGCATTCCTTGCTTTGTATGTCTCTGCGCTCTGCAATTCAAGCCTGTCGGTAGGTAGTAAACGGGAGGACAGGAAAGTGGTGGTGTTGCCTGTGTGCAGGTAAATATGATGGGTGAGTGCTTTAGCCTACCAGTTTTAACAATCTTAGATCGTTCTCACTTTTTTTTTTTTGATGTTACAACTTAAGCACCAATTAATTTTTTTCATCCTCGTCTTTTCCGTTGAGTTTTGCTTGGAAGGGCCAAATTTCTGAGATGTCATCACATTTTCAGTTGTTTCTGTACTTTCTTTCAGATTAGGCATTTTAGCTAATATATAATTTTATCATTGTCTTTAGAGTTTTAAAACGCATCCAGTAGTTTTGACTGCTTTAGAGGAAAGAAATTAAAAGATGAGACTTTCCTCCCCAACCCCCCCCCCCAAACAAACAAAAAAACAAAAAAAATTGGTTTTTTGTGGAGGCTTTTATTGGATTCCTTTTTTAGGGCTCCCCAGAAAAGGCTTCCCCCCTCCACCCCCCCCCCCCCCAAAAAAAAAAAAAAACTGAAATGTTTTTTTCTAACATGCATGTGCTTTTCTCTAAGATAAGCTTTCCAAAAATACTTTTTTTTCCTGGACAAAAAATAGGAGACAAGAGTGAAGCAAATAACTAACAATTGGACCATGTTAGGGAAGGACAGAGTTCTTAAAAAGCTATGTGATTGTTTGTGTAAAACCCCTATCAAGGTTTTAGGAACAAAGCATAATTCACAAAGTATTCTATTATAAATGGAAAATTAAAACACCGCTTGTTCAAAGAAATGAACCTGAAGTAAACATTAGAACCTAGACTAGATGATACATATGAAACGTGAGATTTAGAACTGTCAGTGTCAGAATTGCAAAAAATGGCAAAGTACAACACCTGCTTTAAAATAGGCAGTCTGCATCTAGAAGACTGCATGTTTGTGTTAATAGCTTTTCAATTTGCTTAGTCACGACACGGTTTCTGGTAATGTTTCTTGTCCTAAAACACTAGTATTGGAGAGATACCAAAGGTTTTGGCGTAAATTTTGTCTTGTGTTTCGTAGTAGACAATTAAGAGGGAGGATTATCACCTAGGTCTTATTTTCTATCATATCTGTCTTTCCTTTAAAAGAACGTCAAACTTATTTATTTTTTCAGTTATTGTTATATATTGTGCCTTACTTCTCTGCCGTCACTACTGTAATAAACAGAGCTCTCTACGTTCTGCTAGTACCTGTGCTGTGCCACCTAAAAATCGCTTCTTGACTCTTCTAGAAATGTGGGTGAAACATAGGGGATGTGCTGCTTCTGTTGTCATGTATCTTCGCTGTCAGCAAAGAGTTTGTATGACAGTTCAGGAGGCGAGAGGAATTATATTGGAGGCATTAAGGATAAACGGCACATAGGGATTTGCCATTAGGTCTGAGGCTTAAGGACAAAATGGCTTTTTATATTTCCAGTTATTAAGAAATAATGACAAGGCCACTCAAATACGCTAAAATAAATTGGAAGGAACAGTATAGTAGATAGCTTTATCTTTTTTACCACTGCAGAAACCTGTCTCTGAAGACCTCGGTGCATTTTGGCATCCTCAAGTTTTGCAGTTCATAAACAGGAAAAGATGGCATCTCGCTGTGAGACCTGCTACTAGATTGCATTGTATTTAAGTCATATACTTATCCAAGCCCTGTTATATTTATTTATGCATAGCTCTGTTTGCTTTGTCCTGCAGTTCTCAAGCAATATTCTTAAAACGGCCTTTGGCCTGGGCTGCTGCGCTAGCAGCCCTGGGCTCGGCCTCTGCTGCGCGTCACAGTATATGGCAGCGTTTACACTTCCTTGCAGAACTGCCTGAAGTACTGCATAGTATTTAAAAAGTGAAGGATAGCAACGTTATACACAGTTCTGCTTATATATATTCAAAATAGTAGGACAAATTATTGGTGTTAATGTAGACTGGAAATGTAACATGGGTACTAATAGGAATCAGTTATGAAGTGGCAGTTGATCACTTCTGCTCAAAATCTCACTAGTCGGACCTCATTGAGTGGCCCTCCCTTTCCTTTTGAAAACCAGGGAGGTTGACAGTGTGCTTTTGCTTAGTGCGTTATAACTGGATGCAGAATAAAAGCTAGTTCAAATTGGAGATGCGGTTTTCTGTGTGTTTTCTTGGAATGGTACCAGAAGAGCGTGAGTTATCTGGGAAACGGGCTGTATGCGTGAAACTGCAGCGACACTAAATTTTCCTAGTGGCAGGGAGTAGCCAAGGGAGGTTTTGAATGAGAGGGAACAGTTTGGGCTGTAAGGCTGCGGTTCCACAAGCAGCAGACCTGACCACACAACTCCCTGCCACCAAAATGGGTTGAGGTATTTATTACCTGCCTCTCTGTCCTGCTCTCGGTTTTGTGGCCCTTCATCCCCTTCTGCGCTTCTTGGACTCTCTACTAAAAGATTCCCTCACTAAAAGAAGGAAACAACTATCCAGTTATATACAATTTAGTCAACTCATGAAGTAATTGATAAGCTAGGACAAGGTGGGCACTAGGAGCACACTAGGAGAGAGGAGAGGGGGAAGAACAACCTCTCAGTTCTAGCATCGTTGAGCTGCTCTGCCTTCAGGGAGTGAACCTTGCTTTCCTTTCCGTTGCATTCCTTTGCTTCTGAGGGTTCTTGAAGAATTTGATATGTAAAAATGCAACTATAAAGTATCCCAGTGCTGTAAGTGTGAACTGTGGACTGTAACACATAGATTATATACTGTTAATATCAAGTGGTCTCAAAAAGTCTGTGTTACAGATGTACAGTTGGACAGTTCCTCTGTTGTGATGCAACAATTTTGTATCATTACCATAAGCCTTGTTTTTGCATGTGAACATGGCTTAACTAGCTCAGGGACGATCACTCCAGGTTGAGTGAAGCCCTGCTGGTTCTGCATCAGGACAGAGGTTTCTGTGAAGCTTTACTCCAGCCAGGTGTCCCTCCAGTAATGAGGAGAAAGTGGACGTGGTCAGAAATCTCTGTTCTGTACCAATCCACATCTCTGTTTTTGGCTTCTTGGGACCACTGGAAAGCAGCATAACATTAGAACAGCTTTTGGGTGGGACCAACCCTTCATAGAAAAGCAGCAGAATCAACTTTAAATAATATTTGTATTATTGACTTATTCAGCAGCAGGTTAGATTTTTAGCTCATTCTTGCAGGTATTACTCTCTTTGGTATTTAACGAAGAAAAAAAAAAAAAAAAAGGGAAAATTCTCCAGCACAACTGATATGCCTTTTCAGATTTAAGAGAAGGGAATGTGTGGTGAAGGCAGTTAATATTGAGAAGGTTTTCCCTTAAGTAGCCAATAAGAATTTTCTGTTTCACTGTTTATGCACACCATATACTGAATTTGTATATTTATTCCTCACACAATATGTGCTCTTATTGTTGGGATGGAAGTGAAAAATGGGATCAAATAAGAAGGAGGTGGAATCATCTAATCCATCCATAGTCATTGCATAACTTTCCCAGTATATACTCGAATGCCTTATCTTGTCCAGCAATACAACCATTAAATGGAAGGCAGTCATTTCTGCCTTGAACTGTAACAAATCAGTTCTAATTTGATAAAATTGGGGGAAAAGAGAATGTTGTATTTTACATGATTTAATGGATTTTTGTGAGATAGATTTTAAAGCTAAGTGGGGGACAGGAGACGAGCACAAACCAGATGCTCGTGTCTGAATGCTTCCAAATTGAGTGGAGCTAGTTCCAAGCTTCCTGGATGGCCTTTATATCTAAATTCCAGATCTTGGTCTGATGAACTTTAAGGAGGTTTAGTTCAGGTACAGAGCTGAACTTTATGCTTTGGCCTCATTTCTCGGGTAATTAATTTAGTGTAATGTAATGACATTCTACAGTGAGAGTTTGCATATATTAGTTAGCAATATGTTAGCAACCACTGAGATGAATAGATGGGGAGTTATCATTTGCTACTCATATGTCACAACCGGCTTTTTGAGCTTCAGTCTGTTTTACTGCCTCTTCTGGAGCTGTAAGAGTAAACACCTGTTTAAGAAGGTAATAAACATGAACAAGAATTTGTGTCAAATTCAAGAGCGCCACCAGTGGGACCTTAGAAAAATATGACATTTTTTGCCTATCTAGTTTTGCAGGAAATTACAAGCTAGCATATGCTTTCAATTTTTGAGGTCAAAGTTATAATTTTTGTTCTCTAAGTTACACAAGAGAAAACTGTGAGGAATCTTTAATATTGCCAAATATGTAAAGGACAGCAATAGAGGAAGAAAATAAAGCCATGGAACAATGTAGTTCATGCACGGAAGAGATTTATCTTGGCTCAGCAGAGCAACATGTGAACTTACTTTTTTGCTGGTGACTTCAGGGTAGAGTACGTGAGACAGGCAGTGAATAATTTCTGGCACTGAGCTACATCTGTAGTTGAAATGCATTCTTTTAAAGTTTTAAGCAAGGGTCAATGAATTAAAACAGCAGTGAATATTTATATGGGTACAAGTAAATGTTTATTCATTTGCTTATAGAATTCTTGTGTTCCAGAAACTATAGCTCTTAAGAACGTATATATTCTTCTGTGTGGTTTCTCTAAGAGCCAGTCTTAGGGTTGCGTTTATGACAATGTAGCAAAAGGCTCCGAGTAAGAGTACGGATGGGTTCCTGTGTAGAGAAATACATACGATCTAAAGTCCTGCCCCAGCTGAAATCAGAGGCAAAACACCCAGTGATTTCATAGAACTGGGAATTAACCTACCATCATATATATCCTTCTTTTAATACATATTTTTAAGTAAAGTGCTAGAAGGAAAAAGCTAGCATTCTTCCCTTGCTGTCATGAAATTTTCAGGTGTCTGCTGTATTTTAGGGATTTCAGCTTTTGATATTGTAGCATTTGGGCATATTTTTATGACATTATTTAGTTGTGCCTTAGAAATATAGTTTTGTTTTGTAGATGATTGACAGTTTATAAGAAACTGCCTGTGGTAGTTTTTCTGTATTTATGGTAGTAATAAAGCAGGCCACATAAACACAAATTGTTTTAACACTAGAAATAAGTAAAATCATCTGAAATTAATTTTAACTATATAAACAGGAGAAGGCTTGGCAGCTCTTGAGTGACCCATTACTTTTAGTGTGTTTTGGGGGGGGAGGGGAGGAAGGGAGGGCGCGAGGTGGGGGCAGGAGGAGGGTACTGTTTTTAATTATGATACGTTGTCATAAAAGATGTATTATATATTACATCACAATTTTAAAAAGTCAAACGTACGTGTCATGCTAAAGCCTACAGTACAGAATGATGTGTAGTATGTGATTATTACAATGGGAAATGACAAGGTATTATCACATTTTCTGTGTTGTGTTTCAGCAAGCTGTTACCTTCTGCTCCGTTATGTTAAAAGTAGGTATGGCAGTTGAAATAGTCTGCCAGAACCAGATAACAGTAGGATTAATTTGAGATTAAACTGCAACCAGCATTAGTAATACGAGTTTCAAGCCAGTCGGGCTACGCTGGAGGGCTGTTCTAAAACAGAATGACTTTTTCCGCAACGTAGTGAGAAGTATGCTGCTTTGTCTAGATTCTGGTCAGCTGGAACAACAACTTGAGGAGGCCAGCACTGCGAGGCGAGAGCTAGACGATGCTTCCAGACAAATAAAGGCTTTTGAGAAACAGGTCAGAACGCTGAAGCAAGAGAGGGAAGATCTTAATAAGGTAAAAGCATTTTGTCAGCACCGTTTCTAAACCCCAAAGACTAGTTCACTTTTGTTCATTTAGATTGAAATAAGTATTTAATTGTAGAATTAATGAGTCGATAACAAATGTGTAATGTAATCTCTTTTGCTTTCCAACTTTCCCCCTTCTTTTCTAATGCCCAAACATTATTTAAAGCATTGTATGTACAATCGTTAGGTGATCATAAGTGACTTAATTCTAGATATTAAGCAGCTTCATGATTCAAATTGCATGTTGGAACAGCTTCATGATTCAAATTGCATGTTGGCTGCAAAGGCAGTTTTATGGCCTCACGTAAAGGTGGTAATTGTAGTGGTTAGAAGATAAAAGGAGAGAGGAACTATTCTTCTTATATACAACAAATATAATCCAAAGTGTGGATGAGAGTAGCAGGAAAAAGATGTTCAGAATATGCCTTTAAGGAGACACTCTGTGGCATGGAAATGTTTCCAGAAGAGAGATGTGAAAAATTCCCCAAATGTGAAGACTGAAAAGTATCTTGAAATAATTACAGTAAACGTTGCTTTTCTTTTCTTTTTTTTTTTTCCCCCTTCTTTTCTATCCCCCGATTCCTTATTTTCTTGCTTAGAACATACTGTCTGTTGTGGGCTACCTTGTATTCATGTTTAAATCACTGTGAAAATGTAATCGGGACGAAATACATCAGCCTGTTTCTCATCATGATAAAAGTTAGCCTCGTATTTTAGAGTCTACATTAAATGTTGACCTGCCAGCTGTATATAGCATTGTTTCCTTTGACCCACCCATAAAGCTCTTAAAACCTTGAGAGCTTCCAGTCTGTCCAAGAAAGACCATCCCTTTTCTAAAACAACTTGTAGTGATTAGGACCTCTTTTAACAACCTCAGAAAATGCTTCTAAATTTGTATAGATGTCAACAGTGCCAAATGTTAATTCTTCCTGCCACTCTTCTTTTCATCCTCAGGCCCTCTTTTCCTTGCTGCTTTGTTCAGCTCCACTTTGGCTGAACGTCATTAAACCTTTTAAACTGTTGTGGTCCCTCAGTCTTTGTGTAGCGGCAAAGATAGAGAACACAGGAAGCTTTGTCAAGGTATTCCGTTATAGAGTTATCACAGCACTAGCTGTATTATTTCATGTGGGCTCTTTTAGAGGAATAATCCTCATATGTTACTGGTAATCACTACAGTGTTTTGTGACCTGAAACTTTCTGTAATATTGATATTATGGTACGATGTGTGGGAACCGTAACGGCCATGCGTGGGTCCGTTTCCAGGAGCTGCTGAGGTCTGAGTTTTCATAGAGCAGTTTTCCATTCGGTTCAGGGACAAACCTTTGTTGTTGTTTAACAGCTGAGGTAAATACTATTCTTTTTACTCATTTAAGTAGTTCTTGAAAAACTAGGCCAATGGCATTTTTAATTAAGACAGCAAAGTATTTTGTATTTTAATGCGAGTGTTTGAAAGCCCTTGCACTGAACCTGTAATAATGGACCAAATTCAGACTTGGTCTGAGTTGAAGCGGTTTTGCTGACTTCCGTAGTTTAAAACTTGGCCTCTTTCCTTATGTATAGAAGCATGCGATCTGTGTCATAGATGCATTCATCAAAAGAAATGAGTATATGTTTCTGTTCGCTCTGGAGAAGGTCTCAGATGCGCATCCAAAGACAAAATTGGCCTTTCAGCTTTCTAGGTTTATTACTTAATTCTTTTTTTAAACTGTAGGAACTGGCAGAGTCTAGTGACAGATTAAAATCCCAAGCCAAAGAGCTGAAAGATGCACACAGCCAGCGGAAATTGGCAATGCAGGAGTTCTCAGAGATGAATGAGCGGCTGACAGACTTGCACTCTCAAAAACAAAAGCTTGCCCGCCAGCTCCGAGATAAGGAGGAAGAAATGGAAGTGGTGATGCAAAAAGTAGAAAGTTTAAGGCAAGAGTTACGCAGAACAGAGAGAATAAAAAAAGAAGTAAGTAGTAAGAAGACTGTTTAGAATCTATGAAATAGTAGTTGTATGTAAGGTTTTCTGACAAAGTAATTTTTTAAAAAAATTATCTGTAAATTTTTAACTCTTTGATTGTCATTTCAAACAATACCCATTTTATTTTCTGTTCTACGGATTTGAAATGTGCAGTTTAGTGTTGAAGATTTGTCTCATGTATCAAAAACCACAAATAAGTTTTGAAAAATGTAAAGTAAGAATCCTATCTATTAAAAATGTATGTACTTTTGTAGCTGGAAGTTCAAGCTGAAGCTGCAGCTGCTGAGGCATCCAAAGACAGGAAATTGCGAGAGAGAAGTGAGCAGTACTCTAAACAGCTGGAAAGCGAAGTAGAAGGGCTAAAGGTTAGTCTGTTTTGATATTAACACCTGCAAACTTACTAGCCAACTAGGACTGGATCTGTCTGATTGTTTTCAGATGTAGGACAAAAAGGTGTTGTCAGTTTGTCACTTCACTTGATGCTGAATGCTACTACAAACATGAATCATGTTATTGTCCAGAAAAACGAGCATTAACCTAATGTACTTTTCAGACCAGTGTGTTTGCTGTTCACCGAAGCGTTTCTCAATAGAAACATCTTACCTTTCTTGATTTCTAACCAATTTGCTTCCATAATTAATTTGTTTAACTTTACCTGTTATAAGCAGATTTTTTGTTTAGGATGGATGAATATTTGAAGATAAACTTGCAGCCAATGCACATTTTCTATAGAGGTGTTTTGTGCACTGTGACTTTCTTTAGCATATAAGCCAAAATAAAAGTGGATTTCTCAGTAACAGATGTCAACTGATATAACTGTAAAGGAAAAGCTTTAGTGTATTCTGTATCTCAGTCAGAAGTTGAGACATTTAAGCCCAAGAGGAGCTTTGAGCGTGAAGAGTCTTGTTTATTTTGATAAGATTGCTCGCATATATGTATGTTTTTAGAAACAGAAGTTGAAGTAAGCCAAGAGGGTTAATGGTTATTTTATTCCATGATTTAGCATTGTATACAGTATTCTGAAGAAATTAAGTTTTCTGAAAAACTATGCAGGTGATGAATAAGAAAGTTTTATAGTTTCCACATGAGGATTGCTGTTCATTTACAGCAAGACCCTGTTCCTGAAGTTTCACCCAGTAGGGAGATTCTAGATGTTTTGTATAAAGTGTCAGACTAGATCTATTCTGGCCTTAATTTAACATGAATAACAGTTTTGTTATTGCAGTTCTGTGGGACATCAATCAACATTAAGTCAGTGCTCAGGAGATTTTTTTCTTTTGCACACATTCTTTTATTTCTTCTTCCTCTTAAGTGGAAAAAAAAGGAAATACGTTTGTCATGAAATTTGGATTCATAAAGCTTCTACATCTGTGAATTCAGATTGCTGTCTGAAAATTAAGATGTGCTTCTTCTGTTTTCATGTATCTTCACTGTCAGCAAAGAGTTTGTACCAATTCAAGAGGCAAGAGGAATTTTATTGGAGGCGTTAAGGATGAATGGCATCCTGGTTTTATAATAGCAGGGCAAGTCTATCAGAAGAGCAAAGGGGACTTGCAGCTTTCCTAATAATATTTCACGGTACAGTGAGCACACTTTGGGTCACGTGAGGTTGCAGTACCGCATTATCCATTCAGTAAAAGCTCTGCATGGCTCTTTCGTTAAGTTCAGGAGGCTATCAGAGAGAAAAAGTCAGCATTTAAGAAATGGAAAGCTTGCCCAAATGTCGAGAACAGAGAAGACCATAAATCATGGCAGGTTAAATGTAAGCAGGACGTTGTGGGCTAAAAAAAGAATTTAGACAGCACTTTGCAGAGGATGCTCAAACTGATTATGTGAAGTCCTTTAAATCAAAAGCAGGAAGCCACCTCAGGAAGCTTGATGGAACTGCTTGTTGGCAGGATAAAAAGGAAAAGGGGCACTCTGGGTTGGTAGGGCCATGGCAGAGAAGTTTGGTGGTTTTTTTTGTTGTTGTTTTTTTTTTTTTTTACTGCTGAAGATGTAGGGGAGATTGCCATGCACGTGCCATGCACAATGCGTTCTTTGTAGCAGATAGGTCAGATAAGCTGGATCAGCCTAGGATAGGTATGCAGGAAGCATTAGAGCAGGCAGATGAGTTAGGAGTGGAGTCACCAGGACTGATGACCTTCACCCAGGGGATGTGAAGGAACTCAGATGTGAAACAGAAGAACTGCTGGCCAAGGTGTGCGCTTTCTCATTACGCATAGTCCACTGTAGTAAAGATTAAGATCAGTGAGCTGGGGGATCAAAGAGAACCTCTTGGGAAGGGTCAGCCTGGCATCTGTCCAGGGAAATTCTGCCACACTGACCTGCTGGTGTTCTGTGAGGGGATCAGTAATCATGTGGACAGAGGGGATCCGGGGGGTGCCTCGTGTTTGGATTTTTGAAAGCCTTGGACACGGTTTTTCAACACCAAGGATCACTAAAGAAGCTAAGTTGCTGTGGGGTTGGAGGAATCTTTTTATGGATTTGAAGTTTGCAAGGGACAGGGAGCAAAGGAAAGGACTTAATAGTTGCTTGTCAGGATGGAGAAGAGTGAGTTCCCCAGTGGGGTTCCCAAGGATCCATGCAAAGGCCAGTTCTGTTCAGCATCTTCATTAATAACCTGGGGAGGTCATGGATGGCACTGGGCTCTTTCGGGACGGGAAACACCACACAGATAGCAAGGGAATCTGGGAAGGATGTCGGAGAACTGAGTGGGCAAAGAGATGGCAGAGGAGCTGCAGTAGCTAAAATGTAAGGCTATGCACTGAGTGGGAAAACAATCTAAACCGGGCCTCAGGAAAGAGGTCTTGGAGTCATTGCTGGCAGTTCTCCGGAATCATTGGCTTAGTGTGCAACAGCAGCTGAGAAAGCCAAAAAACTGGAGCATGTCATCAGGAAAGCTGCTGAGAACAAAACAGAGAATCATTTTGCCGCGGTATAAAATTTAACTGCACCCACGTGTTCTGTAGTGTGTGTAGCGTTGTCTCCTCATTTCAGGAAGGATGCAATGAAGTTAGAGAAGTCACAGAGAAAGGCCGCTAAAATGATCAAGAGGATGGAGCAGTGGCCTTTCAAGGAATGTCTGAAAATGGTGTGTGTGGCTTTTCAATTTGGAGAAGAGGAAGCTGAAGGGAAATTGTGATAGAGGTTTACAAAATCATGAAGATGGTAGATAAGGTGAATGCAGAACTGCTGTTCACCAAATCCTCCAGTACTAGGTCTTCAGGGCACTTGATGGAACAAGTAGGACATGGGTTTGAAACAGCGCTTCTCTACACAGTGGGGAGTGATCGCCTGGGACTTGTTGCACCAGGAGGTTGTGGTTGTGACAGTGTCAGCAGGTTCATAACCTGTTTACTTTACTAAACTTAGTTATAAACCTTTGGGGTTATATTCAGACAGCCAAATTTCTGCCTAAATCCTAGTGCTTAGTGTTGCTTAACTGCTGGATTTAGGCTTTCAGAGGCATGAAGCCGGTGACAAACACTAGGAATAGACTCAGGGATGCAGGTGAAATTTAGATTGTGTAGGCATGGGCCTTAGTTCTTTAATGCTAGAAATATCACCAACTCTTTTATCTTCTTTCTGTTCTTAGAAATTTTCAGTATGCTCATATGCCAGGATTTGAAAATAAACATATTCTTCCAGGCTGTTTCTGGACCATAGAGGAGCAGTTAGGTGTACAGGAAAGGTGTGTTGGGAGAGTCTGTTTCGGGGGAACTAGGCAAATTTTGGTGCTAATTTGTATGGTAGTGTTAATTTTTTCATTAAATCTTTTATAAGCTCATTTCAAGCAAATTTAGAAAAAAGTCCGTATGTTAACATTTAGGTAGCATATTAAAATGAATTTCTGAACTCTTTGCTTCCTACCTGAGCAACAAGTTATTCAATTTAGAGTAACAATATAGCAATCCAAATCAGTGATAATTAATCTAGATATTAATAAGGAAGATTCTGTCTTTATTAACATGCCACACTTGGCAAATATTTATGCCATAAAAATTTCATGCTATTAGAATCACCCTCCTAAGTAAAGATACTTCATATTTTTACCGAGGTAGATTAATATTACCATCTGTGAAGTGCAACATGCAAGTCTTGAAGCAAGCCAAAATACCTCTTGTTACCAAAGACTAATCTCATTAAAGCTGAGCCAGAAGTCTTCCAGTATGTTCAGTTAGGATTAGATTACTTAAATAGTTTTCCCATGCTATCCGCTCTATGCCTGCGGTATTTAGGGGTTGTTCTTCTTCATTCTTCAAGTGCAAAAGTTGATATCGTTCAGTGCAGCAATTACAATATCCATACTACGTGATAGACATTTCAGTACGCATAGTAATATTTTCAACATCGCTGTTGTTCTGGGCTATTCAGCCTCACAAACTGCCTTAGGAAAGAGTTGCTGTGTGGGGGTTTTTTTTTTGCACATGCAAGAGAGATTGGGGAAGGGGGAGGGAAGACTTGCCCTGCAGAGTAATGGCACCTGCACAGCGGTGTGCCAGGAGATGCGTTATGTCTCAGCCGCACCATTTGTCCACTCGAAGCAGGCATGTATGAAAACATGTACTTGGAGTTCATGCTTGTACAGAACATACTTTCTGTTTACTATATTGCTGTTGTTCTGTAAGTCCCTGTACAACACCATCCCCCTCTCTCTCCTACTCCAGCATGTTTATGATGTTAATGATGTCTTGCCATGGTAGAAGAAAAGGTGAAATATCACGAAACACTTTACGTACTTGATAGATGATGTTGCGAAGCTCAAAATTTTTACGTGCTTCAATGGCAAGTCAGCATGTTGGGCAGTAACAGGCAAGCTCAGTGGTTAACTACCTCTGTATGAAAGAAAATTCCTATACTTTTTTTTTTTTTTTTTAAATCTTCTTCAAACCTTCTCCTCTCCTTTCTGATTTACCGTTCTGTGTCCTAAGGGCAAGGTTTTGCCCTTTAATAAGGGGCCGAAACAGAAGTTCATTTTGATGAGGCTGAGCTAGAGAAAGCAATGAGGGAGTAGTACGTACCTAGCTCATGCTTTAGGGGGTGGTTGCGGTCTCCTGCTGGCACTAGCAGCGAGGCCAGCGTTTCTCACAGAAGTCAGTGTGGCAGAAATTCAGAGCGTCTGAACGTTCTGCGGCGACGTTCAGCTCTTAAAGTCCGTTCCTACATCAGCAAAAGAAAGCTACCCAAAACCACGTTTAATTAAGGGTGACTGAGAGGATTGTAATACCTCCTGATGAGAATGTAAGTATAACTAACTAAAGATCTTAGAGCCTCGTAAAGGTGTGAGACAGCCACCATGAAGAAGTAGGTTTTTCAGTTACCTGCTCTTTCTCAACAACAGTAATTTTTATTAAGTAATTTTCTTTAGACTACCTTTAATTACTTAAAACACACAAACACGCACGCACACACGTGCGCACCCAGAAAAAAGAATCCGAACCAAGTTACATGTGCGTTTGCATTAAAAAATATTTCCGTACTTGGATTGCAGCGCATGTCATGCCAGTATCTCATTTTGAACCTGATCTTGCGCCTCCTCTGTGTTACGGCAGGACATTGAGTTTAGTGAGTGCAAGCATTTGGTGCAAATGTATGTATCCTGAAGCAAAGTGTGAAGGCTATTGATATACCAGAAGACCTCACTAAGAGAGCTATGCAGCTGCAAAAAGTGAAGTAATTACTCTTATTGTTTAAGGCTTGCTTTCCCTAGTAACCCACTATGATGTAAGTTGTCAGTTTAAATAAAAAGAAGTCAGGCTTCCATGCTGGCTGATGCAATAATCCATGTAGTGTTTTTGTACCTGGATCTTGTCCTTTAGTTAAGTCTCTGCTCGCCTTTATATGGCGTTTCCATAAATTATTTGTGCTTTGAAATATACTCACTGTATATCCCAGTCCTTGTTCTCCGTTCCTGAAAGTCATGGATCCTGTTGCTGTCAACCAAATGAGTGGGAGCATAAAAATCTTTTAATTCTTTGGTCCCTTTCTGACTCCCATTAAACGCAGTCAGAAAGAGGCCTGAGATGTCCAAAGTGGTGATCACATTTACAGTGGCTTGAAAAGTATTATTACATGTAAATCACAACATGATAGAGAGTACAGTTCAGTTTTATGCCTTAGCAGACTTTCAACAAATTGAGATAAATATTTATGTTTACCTGAAGTATGTAATGGGATATTTTCTAAACCTAGACTTAGGAATAATGAGTTTTTATTAAGCATCTGTTTCAGAATTCTTGAGTGCTAACTTGGAGCTGTTTGTTTTTAGCAAAAGCAGATTGGTCGCTCACCTGGCGTAAGCAGTATAGAGCACCAGCAAGAAATCACTAAGTTAAAGGCAGATCTGGAAAAGAAGAGTGTTTTCTATGAGGAGGAATTATCGAAGCGAGAAATAATGCATGCTAACGAAATAAAGAATCTGAAGAAAGAACTGCGGGATGCAGAAAGCCAGCAGCTGGCCCTCAAGAAAGAGATCATGATTTTGAAAGACAAGCTAGAGAAAACCAGAAGAGAAAAGTAAGTGTTTTATGGTATTTACCTTTAAGTTTGAAATGCTTTTTAAAGTTTCCTAGTATGTTTCCAAACTCACTTCCGGAGTTACAGTGCAGACAGGTGCATTTTGGCTGATTTAATGCCATGGTTGGATATAAAGAAGCTGAAGTCTACACTTGTCACCTTTAAAACCAAAACAAAAGAACCCCAAAGCCTGAACTGAAAGTTAATTTTGACCCCGTATTCTTGCACTGCCTGACTACTCCTGGGTATGTAACTAGAGTTGCAGACTTGCAATTCAGGGTAAATTGACCCCGGAAGCTTATGTTGAAGTTTTAAATAGTTTTTTTGGCATTTCTTCTGTTTGGTATTTTCATCTTTTGATGCGAAACTAATATGTTAGTGATCAACTGTTGCTTACATTTCTGCCAGCACAGGAACAGTCACTTAATGCGGACTAAGGCTAATCCACGCTGGGTTCTATCCAATGTTAACATCAGTCATCAGACTAGTAGGCATAAGCTTCTTTATCTCTCCTGACGTGGTCATTTGTCAGAGACCTGCTTTTTTCTCTCTCACGTGGTGGAGCTTATAACTGGCCTTGAAAAATGTTCCTTGAGACATTCATCAATAAAAACAAATTTTCCTATTGGATAATGTAGTACTGGAAATAGTAAGTCCTGGCTTGAATGTATTCATCACTTCCATTCATAAAAAAAATTAAAGTCCTTTACAGACACTAGCATAGATGTTTCTTTTCCCTGTTGTAGTAAGATGGGTTATTAAAAAATCCCTAAAGGAGAAGCTCTTCTTCAAAGCTTAGCCAAGCTGTAGTGAGTCGTTGACTGTTAAGTAGTGAATAAAATAAAAGTATTTTTCAAAAAAAAAGTATGCGAGTAGGTTGCCAGTTTCTCTGGTGAAGTGTTTCCTGTGAAAAAAGCAAATCACAGAGCTTGGAGTGCAATGGATGAACTATTTCTTCTTAGAACGTAGCTGCTCATGCCTTGAACATATTATCACAGTCGGTTGCTGCTTTGTTCTAGGATGAGAAGTAAAATTTGTATCTGCGGTGTGTTTTCATTGTACCACAACTTGATGCTTTTCCTGACCTGTGAGTTACAAATGCAAAAAAGACTACAATGTCTTGTAGCATATAAAGATGATAGTGCAGTGCTTGTATTGCCATGTTAGTTCAGTAGTGTCTCAGAAGGAAGAATGCCGTATAAAGAACCATTATTACCTCTTTCTGCAGGCTAAACTTTTCTTAAAGGTCATGCCTGCACGTGCCGATCAGCCCAAAATCTCCTTTGAGTTTTATCAGAACCATTCCAAAGTTGTATGGCTGCAAAAGTTACAGCTAGATGTCTGTTTTCTAGTGAAATAACACATAGCTTAACAAAGTGGATTGGCTATATGCTAGCTGTTGATAAACGTAGTTTCAGTCAGGTTTCTCTCTGTAAATAAATAACGAACTGGATCCAAACCTAAAATAAATGATGGTTTAAGCGTGTATTTCCAGATGTACTTCAAGTGTGTTGGTGTAAGAGAAAATTTTAAAGCCCAATCATAAGTGTAGCACATAACCAGGCAGAACCCGGCATTTGGCTCTTAATGGGAAAGGCTTCAGCAACGTACAGGGTCAGATGTCCAAGCACAGAGAGCGATTAACAAAAGCCTGACCTTCAACTAGGTTTTGATAAGTAGTGCTGCAAAATTTCATAGCAAGTATTAGGATCCCCCACAAATGCAAATTCCATTGTTCAAGGTATTAGTATTCAGGACTTGCTACAGATTGACATCTGTAGTAGTTCAGGGACTAGAAGGGAAGCTTAAGCATTAGGAATAGAAGAATTGGTATTGTTGCTTGATATGTAGTATTTGATAGTTTTCCTTAAAAGAACATTCATTTTGTTGTTGTTGTTTCTCCTTTCATGCATTGTTTTTAGCTTTTGTAATCGGACATACAAGCTTTTTGTGAGTCTGCCAGTACGGAGTTGTTCAGTGTAAGTGTTGAAAAGGAAGCACCTGGAGGCTTTATGCTGAAACAAGTGGAATTATTGCAACAATAGCCATGCGGTGGGGTAGAAGCATGTACAGTTTGGGGGGGGGGAAAAAAATCTAGAAAGGATATTTAGTGCATATTTTTTTAAAAATGGCTTTGATATGATGTAGCTGCAACTGCTTTATAAAGGCCACAATCTAGAGGAATTACTTAGGTTATGCAGCAGGGGTCAATAAGAGCTTTGTCACAAACTGTTCTCTGGGTGGATTTTTTATTTTTTTTTTTTTAGTGTGCGTTGTGGTGGCTGCCGATTCTTTTTTGAAAATACGTATTTTTTCCTTATCTCCTTCAAATGTAAGCTTTCTTGCTTTTGTTAGTTCAACAGCATAAGTCATCAAGGGAGAGAAACTACCTTTTTGCACAAAATGATAGCCCTTTGCTAAAGTCTTATAAACTGCATGCTCTTAAAATTGGGACTGTAGGAACACAGTATTAGGCCAGCAGTCTGTGTAGTATGATATTCCATTGCTTAGCATTGGCATTATCTAATATTTTAGAAAAAGGTGCAAGAAACTCTGTTAAATAAAAATTATGTTTGTAGAAGTTTCTTCTAAGCTAGTCATTTAATGATAGATTTATGAACTACAGAGCTTTATAAAACAGATTTTGGAGTTTTTTGCTTCACATCTACTTTTCTTGGTTTCAGAGTAGTAAGATAAAATATTTTTCTGTTTTCTACAGCTGCAGTAAAGAACCGGGTTGACAAAGTGGTACCATAAAGCTGTATTTCGCATTGCTTACATGTGGTTGGTTTGCTACAGTTGTTTTAATGATAAAAAGAAATCTGGATCATGTATGATTGCTTAAGCTTCAAGAACAGATATATAGGTAAATTTTAGATGAGAAAAAAAACTTGATGGGAGAGGAGGATTCCAGGCTTCAAAGCAAATGTGTTATTTTGATCTTCCTGGCTGTCCAGGGTACACCTATGGAAGCTGTCACAGTTCTGTGGCTTGCCGAGTTGATTCTTGAGTATGATAGATTATATGCACGTTCTCCTCTCTTTAAAATTTATCTCCTTTGTGTAGTATATTATAGTAATCGGACTTGGAATAGTGACAATCGCCACTTGAATTAAGAACTTAAAAATATGTTGGGGTCCTTTACTGGTCCAAAACTCCCTCAGTCCACCACTGCTGTTGCTGGTGCTTTTAAGGCTGCGTTGAGCCTTAAAGCCTTAAAAGAAGTTTTAGGCGAATATAGAACAACAAAATCCTGTAAACAAAACCATAAATACGTAAAAGCTAAACAAAAGAAGTTAACCGAATGAATTTTAAAATACTTTGGTCTACTGTCTGAGAAATTAACTTTGAATCCATGCCTTGCAAACAGAAGCAAGACCTGTTATTAATTCCCCTGGCAGGCAGTGCTTTAATCTTTTCCTGCCTTTTCCCTAGCTGGCTCATCATATGCATGGAATCTGTTGGTACAGAAAAAGAGCGGTGGTGAATTTCAAGCTTGGAGCTTGAACAGTAGCTGTAGTATGTTCCTTTGCTAGCATGTAGTGTTATGTTTCAAAGGATGCCTGGCAACATAGGATTTCACCATGAGTCCAACATGCTGT